GGAGCAGCCGCGCAGAAGCCGGTGGAAGGAGTCAGACCTCAACAATGCTGCGGAGAGATCTGATGCCAGATTGTTTTTTGTTTTTTTTTTTTTCAGTGAAGTTTATGGGTTAGGGATTTTGCAGAACTTGGCACTCGGATGTAATATCAAATGAAGACCTTCTGGTTCGGAAATTTGACTTAATGCAGACTTCTTTTATTGCTTCAAGGATTAAGTAGAACAAAGTGGCTTTGCGTGTGCATGTGGGGAGATGTTTGCTGGCTGGAGGTGCGTGAGACACTCTGTGGCCGCGGCGATGACCAAGCCGTGCATGCGTGGGACGTTCCTCCGCGAGGGTGTTCAAAGTGCTCCTCACGTGGCACGGTAGCACTATCTCTGCTTTACCAGCAGAGAAAACACCCCTTAGAAAGAGCGAAAGAGATGGAGGCTTTCCTAAAGAGCATTAGAAACTCGGCAGCAGCTTCTGCCCAGGCCTGGGACCACCTCGCCCTCTCTGGTCTCTCCCTCCTGGTCCCAACCAGAAGCATGCTAGACCCGTGTGCGGGCTCCTGCCCGGAGAGGGCCGAGGAGGCTCTGCTCCATGCCGGCTCTCGCCCCGGGGCCGGGACCTCGATGTGGTCATAGGTATGAAATGAGATGCAGGAAGCAATCCCTGCCCGCGAATGCAGGGCTCAAGGTGCATCCCATCTAGGTGCTACGCAGGGAACGGCACACCACGGGAGGGGGATCTTGGCTCTGGCAGCCAGAGGTGCGTGAGGCCTCCTGCCTGGAGATTTTCCCCAAGAATAAGGAATTACCAGCCGTTGCCGCTATGCTCTTTTGACGTTGCTGCAGCTCCAGCAGCATCCATATGTGCGCCATGCTCGGGGCTCCTAAACCACTGCTGTGACGGGGAGACACCACCCGCTGTCCACCTGGGACACTTCCTCCTCCTCCTCCTCTTCCTCCTCTTCCTGCCCCCGCCAGCTGCCTCGAATCACCGCTGCCCTTACGCAGTGGGCTGACAGAAAGGGGATACAAAGGCAGGCTGGGGAATCTGCAAAACCTTGTCTTGTCTTCGTTCCTGTCTGCAAACATCTTCGCAGGTATCAGTGGGAGTTTTCACTAGACCAGTAAATTTTAAGCAAGCATTGCAAAAATTATTCGCAAGCAAATTCTGATTGTTTTGTTGCAGGGGCTGATGCTGTGCAGCTACTCTAAGCGTCGTGCTTGTGCTGGCAGTGATGTGGGGCTCTGCGGCAAATCATCTGCACACCAAAACCAGAGCAGCCTAAGCTTGAAATATGCTGCAGCAAGGGGATGTGAGGACTTGAAAACAAAACTGGAAAAATGAATAAATTTATGGAATCTGTTCCCCTTGCATAAAAACAGGCTGCCAAGGTGAAATACATCAGATAGAGGGATGCAATTCAAATTATTTCTCTAGCGCTAAGTCCTGGAGACTCAGATTCCCCAACACTCATAGCTGATGTCTCTGGGCTGGCTATGGGCAGCCAGCCTGGATGGCCAAGGGCTGCTCACGGGGTTCATTATTGCCGCTGCGGTGATCCGACTTTGTCCTGCCTCCGGTCCTCACCCAAGCATCTGGTCCTTCTCTCCTAGCTTCAGTAAACCTTCGGAGAGCCCGTTTACATTACTGATAGCTTGATACATTGGGCAAGAGGCAATATATCAGCAATTTAGTTATTGTGGATTACGTCTCAAATATCCCAGAGATATAATGTTGGTCTTTCTCACCTTGTGTGTAGGAGGACTAATGGTAAATTATCTGGATGGTTTACATTTTCTGGTTTGTATTGGAGCTCCCAAGGACCAATTAATCCTGATTGAATTGCAAACAAGGCTTACTGTCATCTCAGATGTAGGGGCCAGGTCTCTCTATACATGAATTCAGAGCAATTCAGGTTACCCCAAATTCTTCCGGTTGATGGGATAATGGCATGAATCCTGCTAATGTTTAGACTGGAAATTTTTGCAGCAACCTGAGCTTGACTGATGGTCTCAATAGGGTAAAGAACCATAATCTGTGTCCCTAGGGGAGGGTAGGAAGAGCTGGAAACCCGACTCTCGCTGCAGCCTCTCCCGTGGGCACGGCGCGGACACAGGCGCTGGCAGCGGGGCTTTTGAAACGCGGGAAGTTTGCTCGTGACCGATCTTGCCACCGGCTTTGCATCGCCGAGGACGCTGGTAGCTTTGTGGTGCTGGGTGAGCAGCTGTTGCTGGGGGACTGGGCTCTCTTTGGGCTAGGACGCAGGAAATAATGGGGGAAAAGTATTTGTTCACACGGTCTGTGTTTGTGGTCTCTAATTTTCCCAGCGTACTCCCCTGCCCCTTGCGCTGAACAAGCCCTAAGAGCCGGGGATCCGTAGCTGAGGCATAAGCTTCATGCTGGCTCTTGGCACGCTGGGGAAGTATTTGCTCCCTAAGACGATTCCTGCT